GTGCGAATGTCGCCCACTGGCCGCCATTGTTGTCCCTCCCCTGCCACCGCCCTGTCCGCCCCCATCGCGGTTATTTAACCGAGGGTGACAATTTCCCTTTCGACGATGTCAACATATTGATTGACGGTTGTAAATCTTATTAAATTCTGCATCGGATATCAATAAAAATGCTTACCTAAGGTAACTTGAAAAAAGTTGCAATGCAAAGATCAATGCTTTTAGAGAGTTTTGTATATTTTTTCATGATTATTGATTTTAAAATAATGTTTTGTGTTTTAAACAATGAAATTGCAATTCTTAAGTCAGGGAAAGTAAAGGCAATGATGGATTTGTTTCTTCGTTAGACGGATAAATTAATATTTTACTACATGTTAATTGAATGCATCAAGACAGCTGCGTCTTGAGGTGTTTCTTAGTAAAAAGGACACCCACATGTTATTTTTATGTAAACAGAAATGTGAAAGAAAAAGCAATAAGATGAATGTAAATTTATTTATTCATTTTAATTCAATGGTCAGTTTTTTCAGATTTGTTTTTGATGTGGTCTATATACCGGGCAATGAACTATCGTCCTTATCACTGTGTACGTATTCGATCGATCTTAGTAGAAATTAGCGTTTCCACTGCTGGAACATGTATGCAATTCTGCTATCTCTATTTTGTCAACGAGATGGAAAGAGACAACATTTAAACAATGGAAAGTTTAAAAAACAAATGCCGTTCCTATCGTGCATCTAAACACCTGCGAAGTAAATCTTAAATGTTTGCCACTAGATGGCGCCTTAACGTCTCAGTTACGCATAAAACTCTTTTATAAACCTTTTTATCCCTTTTTCATATTATGTTTTTATTACTGTCGATGATATTTAAATACATATACGATTTATTGTAAAACTTATAGATAATATTTAAGTCACTGATTGTTTAGATTTTTTTTTAAATCTTTTATTAATCTTAAAAAGGATATAATCCGATACTCATTTTCATTGTTTTTAAGTCAGTTGTTGGGCGTGAAATGGCAAATTACTGTTTCTTTACAAGATTTATTCTTTATATATATTTATTTCTTCACAAGAAACACAGAATCGCCTGTAAAACGCATGTTCGTTGGATTACAAATTGAAAACATGTACATATTTGTCGTGTTGTAAAAACCGTGTTAGATTCACACCAACTGACTACAGACTGCATAAAACATGAGAGAATTTTTTTGTAAATATAATTTGAAGCTCTAAGAAAGTGTTGAATTATTTTATATTCTTAGTAGTTAGCTAAACGAGAAAGGACGTGATTTTATGGCACGTTGAAGGAGTACCACCTTAAATAGTGGTACAAACTATATTTGCTAAGTTTTATATTGTAAAATCTTTGTCGTTATTTATTTATTAACTGTATATCTATATCTTTTTTACACATATAAAATTGGAGTGTCTGTTTGTAATATCAAAAGAAAAATTCCAAATTTCGGGAAGATGGTGTATTTGCGTTGCTAATAACGAAAATCGCATTTTTTTTGTCTGTCAGTCGGCAAGGCGCGTTTGTTTTGGGAAATCGGACTTTCACTGAAGAGTAGCTGACATAGACGGGCATATTATAGGCTATTTTTTTATTTTGATATTGCGTGGACGAAGTCGCGGGTAACAGCTAATGTTACATTATTTAATAGTAAAAATACATTTGTTAACCTTGTAAAAGATTATTTTAATCTCGTTGTTTATTTTGTAGGCGTACATAATCGTAGAAATTGTATCAGAAGATTACAAAGTCAGTAATCTAATACCTTAAATGGTATGTTAAAGCTTTCAGTGATTGCGGTCGCATTGGAATTACAGAAAGATCGAATTGAACCATAACACTTGAATGGCCATAATAGAAAGGTACCTGCGTTTAGTTTTTAATATAATAAAGATTATCAAATTGTCGATTGACTCCGGACTAGAGATTATTATTAAGATTACCTGCAAATCTATTATCTACGTTTACCTAGAACTCCCTTATCGAATATTGTGGACAACGTAAAAGCCTAGAGCATTAGATTCCTCACCCAAGATTCTATAAATGTAAAAATAATTACAGCTTCGAATAAGATCATGTTAACCATTAACAGCTATCCCCCCTCCCCCATTTAGATTTAGCCTAGATCAACGGTTATTAACCTATAGCCTTTCAATAAAGATAATCAAAACCAGTTTTTATCAGTAAGGCTAGTTTTTTCTGTATTTATGCAGGGAAATTTTGAATAAGGAAAGTATTATTAAAAATTGTAACCAATTAAAACAATTTAATCCATAATTTTCTTCATATATAAAGGTTCTTTATAGATTAGAAACTGCAAAAGCTATTTAAAAAAGCAGTCACGTTTATATTTCCTCCGCAATCTAGGCGTATCGTAGGTAACTCGGCTCCTTTGTCCCGCTCGCAATCTCCATAAACCAGCTAAACACCTACCCTAAGTTCCCCTCGCGTCCCCGGGGACAACGGGGTGGGGGCTTCTCCCCCGCACAGTTATACGAACCTTAAACTTATGATCTTGCGACTTTATTCGACATATGGAGAACCTCATTTCTTTTAATCTATACAATATTAACTCTATATTAGGATAGGAGAAATATATCTTAAAACCTGGCAACCTAACGGGAATTATACATTTTTTCGAGAAGAATCTGTGCACTATTCCTGGCTATAATGTTATGTACCTATCATTTACATCCGTTCACACTTTATAGAGTCATTTGGTAACAAGCATACATCGAAATGTTTTGTTGATATTACTAAGATTAGTAATGTTTTAGTAATTAATAGACTAATGACCGTGATATTCTGTATAGGTCACCCGTCCCGGCGGGAGAGCGAGTTCAAGAAGCCGGCCCACGCTCCCCAGAACGGACGAGTTCACCATCGACCGCCCTACCCCTACAACAAGGTATGTCTTTACAATACTATTACAGTGGGCTTCCATTGCAGAACATGTACAAAACATATGGCAATCCCCATTTTGCTTTTTGAATAGAGTTTAATATGTTATGGAGATTCCTAGATATTGACTTCATTATTTATTACTACATGTTGCTCGCGCCTTCGTCCGCGTTAATTTCAAAAATATTACCTTCACTTCTCACTGATAACGTAGCTTTTTAACAGTAAAAGAATTGTTGAAATAGGCCCAGTGGTATTTGAGTTATTTCAATACATACAAAAATACAATTTTTCCTCTTTATAATATTAATATAGATTATATTAAATCATCGTTTTCAATTCATACCTATAAAATTAACGTCAATCGACTTCAAGTTGGCTCGTTTAGTTTTTCAAATAACTCCTAGTTCGCTAACTGCGGTTTTGTAAAAGCTTTTGTTATAATGAAATCTGCGCTGCCGCTAAATTATGCTCAAGTGAGCTGCACCGCGTCTGAGACACAGTCAAGCTTTCGAAGTTTGTGCTGGAAGCTTTACTATGTAAATTTATATATTATAACACAGTGAAACGACAAAAGAGTTTTTTGTGATCACACGATTTTTTCAATTGAAAATTGACGAAAAAATTACAATCAAAATTTTGTTATAGTTGGTACTATTTGCAATATGTACAGTAAGCTACATAAATATGTCTTTGGTTTTAAAAATATGCATGCAGTATCCGCCCATATTCTTCCCATCAATATATGTTTTATATATTGATGGGATCTTATCCTACTTCCGTATTGTCGACGCAACAGGTTTTTAAGATGACTGTACTTAATTTATTTGGTTAAGTTTGGGAATTTATCACAAATGGTAACATGTCATAATTTTATCATTGTCAAGTAAAATATGCAAAATTATTTGTTTGTGAACTTAATCATACTTCATACTAATATTATAAATGTGAAAGTTTAGATGGATGGATGGATGGATAATTGTTTGTTAGAGTTTGTAGCCTAAACTGCTGGACGGATCTCAATGAAATTTGGCATACATGTAGAGTATAGTCTGGAAGAACACATAGGCTATTTGGTTTTGTTTTTTTCAATACCACGGGGACGGAGTCCCTGGCGAAAGCTAGTAAATTCATAAATGTTCTCAATATTGCGCCCAACAACCGCTATAGTTTATGCCACGAGTTTAATATTTGCAGCCCACACCACAATAAACACATTTAACGTTCCCAATAAAAATTGCCTTTCATAAGTTTATTTTATGATGTGGCAGCGAGATATTGTCTTGTTTATCTTAATAACTTGCTTTCGCCCGCGACTCGGTCTTCACGATATTAAAAAAAACTTGGTAAGTAGCCTATGTGCTCTTTCAGATTATGTTCTACATCTGTATAAAATTTCATCGACATCAGATCAGCAGTTAAGACTACAAACTCTAGTTAAAACAAATGTTAGATGTATAACACACAGATCATCGAGAAGACAGAGCGTTATTATGTATATACGATAGCTCTGGTTTTAAATGTACTGTTCAAATTTGTATATACTTCCAAGTTTAAAGCTGACGTTCTGAAACCTATACTCTTTATCTGTAAACAAAGGAAGATCTCAGGAATAAAAAATATGTTATAGAGAGTTTTAACTGTCGAAAATATTGTTGTCCACTTTTTACCAAAGTGAAATGACAATGATGAAGTGAGATTACAGTATTTTTCTGAACAAAATGTTCAATTACGTATCAACATCGTACATCTTATCGTATAATTATATTGTCTATTGAGGTATGCTCATATGTGTGTTGTACAGGGTGTATCTTGTTACAGAGCGAAAGCCTGAGTTCCACGGGCGCGCCCGCTCACCGCCCTCCCCCGCTGCGGATATCCAATGGCTTCCAACCACCGGTGAGCCTCCTTACATATATTACATTCCAATAAACTTAACCTCTATTGATATAGATAATGTAGTCTCTGTGTTGTAGTTAATCTATGTTTATCAAATCGAATGTGATAACTACAGTTTGAGGTTATGTTTGAAATCTATTCATTTAGGGCCTGTCCCACAATTATTGTAAATTGGAACAACAATCCAAAGTAGAAAGTATGTGATGGAAGTATCGGATTTTGGTACTCTGACAGTGACGTCACTTTTAAGCTATCTGCGCCTCTATCAGCCAGTGGTGGGACAGGCCCTTAGTCTCAAAGTTTGCCAATGAAATAAGTAAGAAATATTTTTATCTGTTTGTATAAAGATGGAAAGTTTTTTAATAAACTTATTTTCTTTTACAGAGTTCAAGTATCGATAGCAGTCAATTGCCAATAGAAAGTATTTTAAAGGTAAGTTAATAGTATTGTTTTAAAAATAAATTAAATCATTCATAACTAAGTAAATTCTAGTACTTATGTATAAAAAAGTTAATATAGAAATTTTGTTATTGTTAACAGGAGATGAAGTCACTACCTACCCCATTGTCTGTGATAGCGGCCACGCCGAGGAAAGAACTCGAAAACAAGTTCATTTTCAACCCCTATACTAATAAGGTAAGGCTTTTTAAAATGTTTGAATTTTGCCCTGTATTCCTATAATCCTATAACCCGCACGTAATACGTCACGCCCAAACTGAATTTACGAGTACCGATCGTTCCCAGTAATCCAATCTCCAATGAATCTATCCCACACTCGGATACTCTTAATTCCATATCCATTTATATGGAAAATATCTTACTCTTACTAATATTATAAATGCGAAAGTTAAGATGGATGAATGGATGTTTGTTAGAGTTTGTAGCCTAAACGGCTGAACGGATTTGGATGAAATTTGGCATAGATGTAGAGCATAGTCTGGAAAAACACATAGGCTACTTACTTTTGTTTTTTCTTAATACTACGCGGACAGAGTCGCCGACGAAAGCCAGTATATAATATCTTTCAATAAGATCCATTTTAGTAACTATTTTTATTTTTTTATTTAAACTTGATGTATACTTTAGCAGACGTTCTAAAGTTTATTACAGTTTGTCGCTGCTACAATATTTTGCATTTTAATATTTTTAGAATCAACGTTTGTATTATTCCGTTTGCAAGGAATATCTTGAAATGCACAATTTCTATTGTTGAAGAGTTCACTTCTTGACTTCGGCGCGAAGAATGTTGAATAGATGAAAGACCTTTATATTTTACTAGATACTAAATATGTTGGTATTTTCTATAGAAATATATACATATATAATATATTTTTATACATATATAATATATACGAGTATAAAATGTTAGTATCAGATGTATTTTATGAATGTAGTCAACCTTTTCAAACGCTCCTTTAATTTTCATAACGATAATCCTGACGTTTAGTATACTTTTATGGAGTATTCCCAACTGTCACCCCGCTCTGTCCCCATGTGAGAATAAAAGTTTCATCCGTCCCTTTAGTCCCACTATCACAAATAAGGTGACAGATGGAGCCGTTATTAAATAAGTTCCAACCGTCCCCTCTGTAAATGTTGGGACGGATGAACCCTTTTATTCTTATCTGTCCTCACGTGGGACAGAGCGGGGTGACGGTTGGGAATAATTCACTTTTATTGTATTTTAAACGAATCTCTTAGTGTAGATTTCTCGTATCAAAATAACACTAAGTGTCTCTATTAGTAGTGATATCAAATTAAAACCTACATGTACGTTTCGGTTTTTGAGTTGTTTTGTTTAATTCTAGGTGCAAGAGAACCCTCAGCTAGCGAACAACGATCTCAAAACACCTGTAACGAAGCCTGGTAAGTTGTAACAATAAGTTTAACAATACAAGTTAAGATAAAATTTTATTTAAAAAAAACTTACGTTGCTATCCGTATATTTTAACTAAGTTTATTAAAATACTATCATGTACGCTTTTGCATCTTAATTTTCCTAAGCTTACTAAATCCGATTTCGTAGTTTTATGTTTAGAAAAGATTCCTGGAACTTGTAAATTGACGTCACTAGAAGTAACAGAAAAGTTTGATGACGCGTTTAGGGTTTCTCGCCCCTCGTTGAAATAAACGTGAACTATTGTGAAAATTTATGTTACATGTATTTTTAAACTTATTGTCTTTTTACTAAATTAGAAGGAAATAGAATGGACCGTCTAACACTGATAAATTACGTAAACGAAATGGTACATTCGACTTTAGTAAAATTTAATCTTTCAGAAAAACTCAAATGAAATTCGAAAAACTGTTTAATGCAGAACACTTTTGTTGTTTTTATATACCTAATAAAAATCACTAAAATTCAAAAAAGTTCCTGTTGTGATAATTTGTAATATTAAATTCACGCATTCATTTAATATTTACATACTCTTTTTTCATTTACATGTTTTAATTATTAAAATTGTAATATCGGAGTAGGTTGTTGGAACTATCCAAGCTGCCTTTTTCATGAATTTTGCTACAAAAATTTAATGATTTCCGCCGCGTTAGGACAGACTGGCACAACCCAAATAAAAAACGTAAATGAAATATTAAGGGGCCGTTTAAAATCGCGCTCGCAGATCGCCGCACAGCGCCACCTGTCGGCGACGCGCGAAAATAAATATTTTGTAAATAAAACAAAACAAACTGAATACATTTGGCGCCGAGCGAGCGTACTTTATAAATGCAAGTTTTTTAATAGGCTGTTTGTAATTGTAAGCACATTTGGACGTTTATAGTTTTATTTATGTTAAATAGTAGAGTAATTAATTTTAATAGCTTACTGTGTGTTTAATATGATAGTCTATACTTAATATAATAAAGCGTAAACACACTCTTCTTTGTTGCCTAAGATGTCAGCAATCACAGCATATTTTCGAATAACTCTTATTTACTAAAAAGCAATACACTTACGTCACGCTTTAGGCTATATATTTTCACGCCGTTAAACTTAGGGCTAAATATTTTGGATAAAAACCCTAAGGTGGGAAAGAAACCATAAGTTGTTGCCAACATCAAGGAAGCAAGGTTGCCATGGTTTGACATGTCATGTCATTTTGACATTTGCAATTGATATAATAATAAACAATAAAATAAAATATTTGTAATTCTACGCGGATGAAGTCGCATAGGAACAGCTAGTTATGTAATGAATATTGCTTTCTATTTATTTACTAGCGAGAAAAATTAAGAATTTTGCTTGCACTTTTATTTATTGTGTACGTTTTTTTAATAAACTTAAAAGGACATTGTCAGGCTCCTTTCATTTATATATTTCTGTCATCAAAAGGCAAAGCAAGTATTCAATAGTAATAAATGTGGCCAGAACACACAATACTACCGGTTACGAACAGATTAATTAAGGCGTTTTTAATTGAAAAAGTTTGTCGGCGTTGTCGCCGTCTCGCTACGATGGTCTCGTAAAGTCGACCGGCGAATACTCGGCAACCTCACTGAATAATAATGAACGCGGAATGTACAGTCGGGGAAACTGGCTTAAAAGCTACAATCGTTTGAACAAATGAGACGAACAAAATACAACGCAAGTTATAATTGTTCTAGCTTTCGCCTGCGACTTCGTTCGTGTGTAAATAAAAAGTTGAGTAGCCTATGTGTTCTTCCAGACTATCCTCCACGTCTATGCCAAATTTAATCGAAATCCGTACAGCCGTTTAGGGTACAAACTCTAACAAATATCTATCCATCACTTTCGCATTTATAATACTAGTAAGTATGAAATACATGGCTAGATTTCTGTATTATTATCCCTCTGTTTAGACCATTCACCACCTCTATTGCCGTCTAATTAGTTTTTTGTAGGAAGAGTCGGAGTTTGTCTCGTGATGAAAAAGGCAATTTTTCCTAAAATGGGACACCGCGGATTTCCGTGATTGTACTTAGTTGATGCGACTCGTGTCGCGACTTGCCACTCTAATACAGTCTTATTTATAAAGTTAGAGATCATTTGTACATACAAGTACACTTAAATCTATGAACGTCGCAGCCATGTTATGCTTTAATAAAATATAGTCTTCTTTACCTCTTATGTTTTCTTCCAATTTGCATAGAATAACCTTACCAATATGGCCGTCGTGTCGTCAAGCTAATGCAGCACCCTTATTTTTGACATCCGACCACTATCCGATTATTAAAATAACAAACTTTAAAATCATGACATAAATATTTAAATAATGTTTTGGATCACAATTACAAAGCTTATATCGTTATTTCAAATTATGGCAAATGGTGTTGATTTATAGCACAGACTAAATAACCTTCAAGAATACAGAATACATCAAAATAGTTAAAAAGCTAACAAATCTATATGTTTACGAACTAAGGACTTATCAAAACTTCAATTGTCGCCTCGGCTGGGCATTGCCTCGTCCCACATTTTATTGAGACAAGGGTATGAACTAAAGATTGCAGATTTAAATAGCTATCTCAATTAAACCCACTGCACACCTTTTAACTGTGTAGTTAAAATTGAAGGTGTCTAACAGGTGTTACGTATCTTGCTTCTTTTTTCTTACTAATATGCGAAAGTTAAGATGGTTGGATTGGCTTAACGGATCTCAGTGAAAGGCATAGACATAGAGGATAATCTGGAAGAACACATATGCTATTCTCTTTTGTTTTTTTTTCCGCGAGGACGGAGTCGCGGGAGAAAGCTAGTATGTACATATTTTGAAAATGACAGTAGTGAACCACAATACGTTTTTCGCCGTGAGATTTTTTTGTCAAATTTTAATAGCTACGTTGAATAGCTTTTACGTTGGCTTTCGTAAATTGCTACATACCTGGCAATGCTAGCTCGTCAGTAAAAAAAAAACAGAGAGCGCAGATTAAAAAAGCGCGGCGTAGAACCATCAGAGCCTGTGGTCTCTGAATTAAATATTCTGTGTACCTAGCGTTTTTTGTTTGAAAAAAGTATGGAATGATAATTGTATTTTTGTTATGGTATTTGGTGAATATGGGATTCAGAGCTAAAGTTAAATGTTTCTGTCAGCTCTAGACTATACAGAATCCGAAAAAAAACTCTCTAATTATATGCGCACACCTGATACTAAACTATCGCACAACTGTTTTGTCTCGCTTTGATTCATATGAGATTATAAGGAAGTGCGCACACTATTCGATTTTTAGTTGTGCAACTAAACAGTTGAATTGCCTGCGAAACAATTGACAATCGCACAACTGTCGTGCGACAGTTTAGTCAAAAGGTGTGTCCGCTCTAACTTCTAACAAAAATAACAACAATCTTGTTTATATTGATGTAAAAAAATTAAAAATTTATGTAGGTTTAGGTGTTTTTACCAAATATATGTTGAAATTTGTGTAATAAAGTTTGTACGGTAGTGATTTCGTTAACTTCCCTCTTTGTGACAACTATCGAATGCCGATTGAAACGAACAAAAAGAATTTACCTCTGTCCCTGCGCCCGACACCGGCCATTTTACGTAGATTTCGTTCGTTTGCCGTCCGTTTGTCTGGCTAAGTTTTTTTTATTTAGTCTGCAGAATTTTTAAAAGCTTTCATTGAGAACGATTTTGATCGATTGTTACAGTGTTTAATGCAAGTGTTTGTTTATTTTCGTGTAGTTTTCAATTGCATATGCATGCAAAATTATGAACTTCATTGGTAGGGAATTGCTTATTACAATTAGAAGAACGGAACACCATATCTATACTTAATATTGTTAACGCGCTGTTGCCCACGACTTCGTCCGCGTGGTACTAAAAAACATACGAACTATATAAATTACAAAAAGCTACGTATCCCTCGGGAACCGGACATTTCTCTGGGATAAAGCTTATGTCATAAGTAGTCCAGACTTTGTTTTATATCTGTGCCAAATTTCAATAAGATATGTTGAAGCGTTGCAGAATGATCGAGTAAACATTAAAAAACTCATTTAATGAATCCCACGGGAACCGTACCTATTCCCGGGATAAAAGTAGCCTATGTGTTCTTCCAGACTATGCTCTAAACCTGTTCCAAATTTCATGGAGACTCGTTCAGCCGTTAAGGCTACAAACGCTAACAAACATCCATCCATCTAAACTTCGCATTTATAATATTAGTATGATAATATTAAGAGGAAAAGATTGTGTTTGATTTTGATGAATTGGTTCAAAAACTACTGTGCCGATTTTAAAAGTTCTTTTACCGTTAGAAAGGTAATTTATCTATGAGTAATATAGGCTATATTTTACAATGATTTTTTTTTAATTCCACGCGGACTGAGTCGCAGACGAAAGCTAGTATATTGTAAATTCATGCATATTTACTCCCACTTATACTCTCTTATATATTTAACTACAAAGATGTCATTATTTGTTACTCTTTGTATGTGAACCTGATAAATGAATTATTGAAAATGTTACTTATGAACATAAAAGATGAAGAATGAACATAAAAGAAAACTTCTTATCAGAAACAAACACGTACAATATAAACTCCGGCTCGTAACCCGCACGTAATACGT